CATTAGACGCCGGCGACAGGGAAGACGGCGCTTGCTGCAACGGTTGCTGTGAAGGCTGCCTCGATCGCTTGCGACGCGACGCAGACGCGCGTTTCCTCATCTGTTGCTCTTGCTTTTGTCGTTGACGCTCCATGGCGGCCTGTCGTTGCAACATTTGCTCGCGCTGCGCCTTTTGGTGGTTGAATTGCGCAAGCACATTCGCACCACCAGGTAATTGATGGATGATTTGCTGCAATGCGTGATTTTCATGCCTCAATTCGTCGCCGACGCCCTTTAAATGCACAATGTACTCGGTCGCCTTGCGAAGAATCGTCGCCTTGTTCAATTTCGTCGCAACAGCCACGCCATCCATATATTCCTCGTCATCTTCGCCATCATCCTCATCATCGTCACGCGCACGCTTGCCCGTGCCATTCTTGAGCTTGGCATGCAAAAGCGCAGGCACTGCATTCTTCAATTCCGTGATACGATCGTTGATATTGTTGCGATAACGTCGTTCAATCGCATTGTGGGCTGATTTTTTTGGCGCAGGCATGGGAAAAAGCAACGACGACGTATCAATCGACCCTGGCTTGCCTAGCCCCTGGCCAACTTGTTGCATTGGCGTTACTTTTTCTGTAAAAGAAGTCGGAAAAATGAGCATTGCCTCTTTCCTTTTTCGTCGTTTGCCCGTTTCTTCTTTTTTTCTCTTTTTTTTCTTGGTTTTTTTGCTATTTTTTTTTTCTTTACCGGTCTCTGTCAGGATGGGCATCATGGGCGGGGGCGTGTCGGCCAAACCCGGAGGACTGCTGTCCGAGGCAGAGGATGTAATGGTGCCAGGCGTGGTGGTCATGGCTTGTGCAACCAAGGCATCGTGCAAGGAGGTCGTTGTGGGTGGTGTGAGTGGGTGATGTTTGGGCGATTCCGCCTTGATCTGCGTCTGCAAGTCGCTGCTAAACAGATCGAGCGCTTCGGGGCTAGGGTATTCGTTTTTCATCAGCATCTCGGGCGCCGGCGGCGACGTCCAATGCGACGGCACCACAGGGAAACCCCCGCCCTTGCCATCGTCAAACGGATACATGGCCGGCGCAGCAGGCCCTGTACCCATTGCTTGCTGTGAAGGCGCTTGTGAAAGCGGTGGCGCCATCGGCTGCTGTTGTTGCTGCTGTTGTTGTTGCTGTTGTTGCTGTTGCTGCTGCTGTTGTTGCTGCTGTGATGTGTTGAAGGGCGCGCATTGCACTGTCAAATATCGGTCCATATCGTGCAGCGCCGGCGCCCGTCCCGACACCGACGATTGTAGCTGCGCTTGCTGCTGTAAATCGAATTCAAAGTCGGAAAGACAGAAAAAGCCGTCGCTCGCGTCTCCGGCAAACATATTGTCGTAGCCAGGTGTCGCCTGATATTCCATGGGAGGGTAACAAACAACAACAACAAAAAAAAAAAAAAAAAGAGTAAAGAGTAAAAAAATAAAAATAAAAAAAAAAGAAACAGAGAGAGAAAAGGGAAGGTCGAAATGGCGGACCTGCCAAATTCTGGTTACTTGAGAAGAGAAAAAAAGAAAAAAAAGTGGCGTGATGTTTGCCCTTGGTTTCGTCCATTGGCCAATCAGAATGCTGCTTTTTGCTTTCTTTGCATTTTACTTGCATTTCACGAAATTGAGGGGGGGGAGCCAAGGTCCGAAAAGCCTGGCCTCTCGCTTCCATTCCAAGCCATGACCCACGTCCGACACACCACTCATGAGTGATCCCTGTGCCGCTCTTGATTTACGTCCGTCTCTCATCCAATTCCTCATTTTCTTGGACTGTGTCACGTCGACTTGCCCGTAATGGTGGTCCCCCTGATTTTTTTTGAGGCTGAAGAACTTTCATTTTTTTTTTTTGGCCTGGCCTGGCCCCACACGACACTTTTTGTTTCATATCCTCTTTTTCTTTTTTTTTTCTTCATCTTCATGACAGCAGAAACAGCCTCGTTTAATATAAACGACTATCCTATTGTCGTTGGCATTGATTTTGGTACAATGGCGCCAGCGGCCTTTTTGAACACTTTTGACGCGAAATTCGGCTGACACGCTCGTTTTTCTTTTCTTTTTTTTTTCTCACCAGGCACCACGTACTCTGGGGCGGCCTATGCGCTTGCCAACACCGAGAACGAGGTGATTGACATTACGTCATGGTAAGAAAGCAGCCATTGTGATTCCTCAGGGCATCTCACCGACTTCTTTTTTTCTTTTTGCCTTGTAGGCCACGCCGCGCCGGCTATCATTATCCCAAGGTAAGGAGCGAGGGGGCGAGGAAAGCGAATGTGGACAACAGTCGTCCATGGCTGATGCACGCTCTTTTTCATTCACGTAGGTGCCAACAATGAGTGTAAGTCTTGCTGAAAAATCAAAAAAAGATGGCTTGGAATAAAGTCCAAGCACGCGACTTTTGGGCTTTGGTCTGATTACTTGCTTTTTTTGATTGGTGCAGTTGTATGATAGAAACACAAAGGTAAAAAAAAAAAAAAAAAAAAAAGGCGTCCCGAATATAGTTGTCACTCACGTTTTTTTTAAAAAAAAAAATCTCTTGCTTAGAAACTGGTGACGTGGGGAAACAGCGTGCGCTCCGAGTGCCGCAAGAGCAGCAAGGACCGTGAGCTGATGATGCTGCAGCAATTCAAGCTGTTTTTGGACGAAAGCTTGGATCAATTGCTCAAAATCCCAGAGGGATTCAATGTCGTCGACTTGATTGCCGGTAAAATTTAAAAAAAAATGGCATAGCTGCCGTGGCTCATCATCATCGGCTTGGTATAATTAGACTTTTTGCGCGAATTCCATGACCACGTTCGCAACGAGATGAAGCGCACATTTGTCGGCCAAATGGACTGCCGCTACCGCTATTGTTTGACGGTGTGTATTGCAAAAAGAACAAATGGAAAGAAAAAAAAAGGCGACAACGTTGCTGACCTTGCTTTTTTTCCACCTCTTTTGCGACAGGTGCCCGCCATGTGGAGCGACAAGGCCAAGCAGACGATGCGTGACGCCGCCATCTCGGCGGGCATCATCGACAAGAACGACCACCACGACCGCTTGATCCTCATCTCCGAGCCCGAGGCTGCCGCCATCTATTGCGAGCGCACCAGCGACGAATTCACCATGGTCGATGGCGACGAATTCATGATTTGCGACGCCGGTGGTACGCGCTCTCTCCTCCCCCCCCCCTTTTTTTTTTCTCGGTGTACGCTGACACATGGGCCCTCCATCTTTTTTTTTTTTTTTTTTTTTTTTTTTTTGCTGCACACATTAGGTGGTACGCTCGATTTGATCGTGTTCAGCGTCAAGATGGACGCCGACGGCAACCGCAAGTTCCAAGAGAGTGCCAAGGGCATGGGCCGCTCGTGTGGCTCCATCTTCATTGACAAGAACATGCGCAAGCTCATCAAGAGCAAGCTCAAGAAGATCAGCAAGGGCGGCTCCATCCCCCCCTCGGCCCTCGAGACCATGATGGAGCACTTTATTGGTAAAAAAAAAAAAAAAAAGTCTCGTTGGCTCGTGAAAAAAGACTCACACAGCCCCCGCGCGCACACAGATCGTATGAAGCCCGATTTTGACGGCTCCGAGGACCAATACTTGGATTTGCCCATGATTGCGGGCCTCGTCGAACAAAACATGCCGTCACTGGGTCTGCGCGATGGCAAGCTTGAATTCACCGTGCAAGAGCTCGAGGAAAAGGTGTTTGAGCCCGTTGTCCGCGACGTCCTCGACTTGGTGCAGCAGCAGATGAACGAGACTACCAATCTTAAAGCCATCTTCATGGTCGGTGGCTTTGGCTCCTCACAATACCTGTACCTCCGCGTCAACCGCGAGTTTGGCTCCCAAAACCTCAAGGTCATCACACCCAATCGCGCTGGTAAAAAAAAAAAAAAAAAAAAAAATGCGTGCAAAAACAAAGACGTCGATTATTAATCCTCCTTTGTGTGTCTATGCAGAAATGGCCGTGTCACGTGGTGCTGTGTACGCCGGCCTCAACCCAACCAAGGTGTCCGTGCGCGTGCCACGCTATTGGTATGGCATTGAAATCACCGCTCCCTTTGTCGAGGGCATCGACCCACCTCACTTTAAAATCACCAATCCCGACGGCACCGTCCGCTGCGACCATCGCTACTCGATCTTTGTCCGCCGTGGTGAACCTCTGCGTAAGAATGGGGAAAAAAATGAAAAAAGGCAAACAATCACACAATAGCACATCTGACCACCTATTTCGCGCACTTTTACATAGCCAAGGACCAGTGCACGAGCAAAAGATACACGACCTTCTACCCGCGACACACGGCGTGCACGTTTTACGCGTGCGACCTCGAGGAGGAGCCGCGCTGGGTCGTGCAAGAGGGTGTGCGCAAGGTCTTTGACTTTGAAATCCCCATGCCCAACTTGCCTGGCGTCGCCTACGGCGAGCCCGTCGAGCTCGTCATCAACATGTACTTTGGCGAGGTCGAATTGCGAGTCGAGGCTATCATCCGCGACAAGAAATACGATGTACTATGTAACTTTAACGTCTAGACGCTCCACCTTTATTCCCAACGCACGCGCGCACGCACGCACCACACACGTTGCCAAACAAGTATGGCCTTGCTTTCTTTTTTTTTTTTTTTTTTATCAAGCAACCCCTTTCTTCCACACATGATGCGAAAAGTCTCCTCAATCTACAAAATAATAAATCCGCTACATCCATGCCCCCCTCTGTCCCCTTTTCTCGTGCTCACTGTAGCCCATCGCATTGTCTGGCTCGTGCCTCTTTATTTTTGTGGCACTCGAGCGCGGACCACGCGTCACTTTTCCATGGCAAAAGCTTGACACTTGCTCGCAGAGCCCCTTTTTCGTAAACATTGCAGTGGCTGATGGCTTTGCGGATGCAGTTAGCTCAATGACAATGGCCTCCTTACTTGAGCATGACTACGTCAGGGATGGTTAAAAAAAAAAAAAAGCAAAAGCAAAAGTAAAAAAAAAAAATCACCACAAATTGTAAAATCGAAAAAAAAAGATCAGCCGACGGGGGGTCTCGATCCCCCAACCTTGAGATTAAGAGTCTCACGCTCTACCGATTGAGCTACGAAGGCCTCAGATGTCAATGAAGATGAGTGGTTACTCAAGGCCCTCCGAAATCGGAGTTTTAATAATAAAAATCCTTGCAGATGAATTCGATTTTGTTGCAAATGTTCTAAATTGAATTGAAAGGACCCAGATGGCGACTTTTTTTGAGTTTGACGCGCACCGGGATGGATTTTGGCGACCTTTAGAAACCCTTGCGCTGCTGCTTAGCGCGCATCCGCCTCCAAAATGGTCACTCATTTGGAGCACGGTGTACGCAAATCGCCAGCATTAAGCTTGACCAATGCAAGATGCATCCGACAACGAGCTTTTTTTCAACTCGGCAAATTTTTGGCCAGCGGCTCCCACCTCCCAGTTTCAAAAAAAAAAAAAAAAAAAGGTGCCATTTCGCCACTTGAAATAATGCTCGCACCACCATGGGACCTGGCTTTTGGTTATGCATTTCAGCCCTCTAGTTCTCAGAAACACCATGAAAATCGTTGGTCGACAAGGCCGTTGTCTAGCAAATGCAAATTTTAACCGATTTTGCTCGATTTGGTTGTGGTTCACCGAAATTGAATTCGATGTGGCTGAACTTTGCACTACGGAAAGCTGCCCGTTTTGACGTCATTTGGTCTCTGCCTGGGCATCTCGATGGACGACTTTTGTACGCTGCCGTCTATCACGTAAATATTTCGGACGCGATTTGCTTGGCAGTGGACAAAAAAACTCACGGCACGCGGCAGTGACAACAGAAGCTGGATTCAATACTCTGTGGGATGATTCCAGTTTCACCACTTTGTGACCAAAACTAATGGAGAAATGCACGTTTTTAAAAATTAACATTAATCGCCATTTCCTCGAGTTCCGTCAAGTCATTCCTCGATTTTTACTGCATATTTGCTTAGAGAGAGGGGGTCAATGCATCAAAAAACATGACTCCCAAAGCGCTGGTGGCTGATATGTAAGTTGCCAAACGGATTCAAAAATCGGGTGTCCCTCCAGATGCATTTTGGCTTGCCCCATCTTTTTTTTTCTCAAATTTGAAAAAAAAATCCATTATCAAGCAAGGACCGCTTGCAGCGCCAGGAAACTTTCCCATGTGGTGGATTTAGCCCCTCTCTTTGTAGAAAAAAAAAATAAAAACCAGAAGGTCAATCAACCGGCTCTGCGAGAAATCCGACATTGCTCAAAATTAGATCTTAAAAAAATCATTTCGAGGCAAAATCATGATTCGACTGCCACCAAACTTTATCACCACTTTGCTATTTCAGCGACTCTCTTTAAAGGGAAAAGTAAAAAACTCAAAGGCCTACCAGGCCGTTTTCGAGGAGAAAAGCACTGTTTACATGAATTGTCACAAATTCAATGATGACCAAAATAAATCAACGTTCGATTACCTCCCAATCCTTGTCCTCTGACTATTTGCCGCGCCCTGTTGCAACAAAACGTTGATAACCAGAGGTCATCAACTGAGTCGCTGCGCAGATACAGTAAATTCGAAATCTCGACATTTTTTACAAATCCAGAATTAAACACCCGCAGGCCATTATTGGATAGCCTCCAAAACTGTTTCATTAGGCTACTGTATTTCGTCGCGTCTTTTTTCAAAATGGCATTGAAAATCAGAGGTCAGTTGAGTCGTTGTGCAGGTGAATCCAAAAAAATCGATATTTTCACAAATTCAGCAGTGGCTTTCGAATTTTTTTGTGGATCGGGATGAAGCTGGCATCAGTCGAAAGATATACGTTTGGACGCCATTATTGGAATGTTTGTTTGCCCGATGCGTGACCTTTGTATGCTTGTGATGCCGTTCAAACATTACAAAAATTTTCAAGCTCGATGTTCTCGGCAACGGATTAAACAACACGCGGTACTTTTAACGTGCCAAAGGAGGTCGATTATTACCAGATATACATGGCAATTATAATAAAACTGATGTAATTTAATTACCCATTTTTGTATTATCATATACTTTGCCCAGGGTGTACGCTAAGGATAGACCCGTGTCTTTGCTTCGATGCACCACCGGGAATGTCTAATTTTTGATATTTTCTTGGTCATCATTTGGACATTTAATCAAAAGATGAACTAAAAGACTTGACCCACCACCTACAGTAAATAAATTTTAAAAACAGTACGATATGACGCCGATATAATATATTGTTTAGATGACAATCCTGCATGTGACGTCTCTGTAAGTGACGTTATCGACAAAGAAACTAAACACCACACCTTCCCCAATTGTTGGTTCAATAACGTCTTGCATTTTATTCCCGCAGCGCACCATCAAACCATCCGCTAGCACCAAATGAAGGCACATTTTGCCCCTGAAACTGGCATATCCATACTTTATTACGTTGTATGAGACATTGGCTAGAAGGCACTTGCGGTCAGATGTATATTGAGATACTTGAGGACTGTTAATCACCTGCAAAGCAGATGGCATGGCTTCTCGGATTGACGACAAGTTGAATGCGTCGTCGTCTAATCTTTGCACAAAACTGGTCACAGTTCGATCGACCGTATTTTCTAAGCGATTGAGAGGCCATTCGATATGTATGTTCTTATAGATATCAAGTCCAACATCTGCAAACATGATATCTTTTATTTGAAGCCGACCACGAGAAGGAAAGAGTGAATTTGACAAACCTGGTGTCAACGTCATGGCTGTGCAACCATCAGCTCTCATATAACGCTTATGATTAATAATTTCATATGCTGAGCTGTTTTCAATCTGCTTGATAAAAAAACAGTGAATCACTCTATCATTAAAGCTAAAGTTAGTTAAGAAGCACTTAAGATCGTCTCTCTTGATTTTATCTTTACAAATGCCTTGCTTTTTCTTTGTAAGAGAGTTCCACCAATGACAGTATGCAAACGTATTTGTGTTTTCCACATACACTGCAGCAACCTGTGTTAGTTTATCTACAATCATATGCCATTGCTCCCACAAAGGCACATTAAATGTTGGGCAGCCGGCTAGCTTGTCAAGTAGGTCATCCATTGCGCGCTCATATGACGTAGGACTAAAGAGCGTACTACCATAAATAGATAACTCAATACGAGTATAACCAGTGTTTAGAAAGCGTTTCAATTTTTCCATATACAACGAGTCACGATCTGCGACCAGGTGACTGAGGCGTGATCCAAGCGGGACAAGTACTTGCGAGCTTTCCAAAGCCTGGATAAACTTATTGTAAATTTTAGTGCGTGTATTTGCGTTATTTAAAAGGGCTGATTTTCCAAGAAACGAAATGCAATTGTCACCTACGCGCCCACGATCATTTACAATATCGCCTTTGGTTGCAATTTTGTGACTCAGGACGTATTTCTCAATGATCATGCGAGTTGAAATATAGCCGCAGTCAACAGTCACATCAATGCTTCGAAGTATAATATTGTTTTTGCGCAATTCAGCAAGTACACGTCTCAAAGAATGGAAAACGCCTGAAACGCCAATGTCATGAAAAGTCGCGTTGATCCCAATATAACCCATTTTGCTAAATGTCTCCTGGATCTCCATTTCCTCCGACTCTTTGTCAAAACTATTCCAGACACCCTTTCTTATATATTTTATGTAAAATTGGTGCTTTTCATAATGACGGACAAACATGGAGCTGATGATACCCAGAAAAGATTTGATCATTTTTGAAGCATCATCTTGTTCCATATCGAATGCACACCAGAGCATGATGCTATCGACAAACATGCTAGTATGGTCCGTCCAGCCATAAAGTTGATCATAATTTTTAACATAATTTATTCCATAAACATCATTGATGTACGGTATTGAGCATGTTCGTTGAAAAAAGTGTTAACGAGAAGGGTTGAGGTCATTATGGGCTTTCTGCCGGAGTGCGGAGTTTCATAATAAATAGCTCTTCACATAGTGACGTGTGTCACATGACCTTTTTTATTTGAATACATATTTATAGGAGCAAAGGCAAAAATGAACGAAGATCTAAGACAATTATTTCAGTATTTAGTTAGAAATTATTGGACATTTTTTCATGATGACTGGCCTGTTGTTGAAAGAGAGAAGCATCATCGATCAGAAATTAAGAGCATCGTTGGTATAGAGATTGTAAAAAACTATGTGTTTGAGCACTTAGGTTATATACCCGTATTTTTCTTTTTGTCTGTTTTATTTAGCAATAAAGACTATCCTGGACCATATCGTGGAGTGGAGAAAGGCCTGTTGATTTTGTATCATCTATTGACCGGTGCATCCATGAGTCAAATGGGGCAATTCATCCCAAAAAGCAGCTTCAACGCCATTTACCGGGTGTTTTATGCAAAGCAATTAGACTTTTTAGATAAGAAATTAGATGAATGCCTAGCTAAGATGTTTTCAAATGTAAAAATAAGGGTAATGTGTGCAAGAGAGATGAATCCTAACGAGTTTAGGCACGTTACCATGATGATTGATGGTCATGACTCACGAGCAACATACATAAATGCAACGTCAAGAGCTGATTATTATTCATACAAATTGAAAAAGTCTGGCTTTCGCACCCAGGTAGGCATGGATACCAATAGCATGATCTTGTTTGTTTCAAAAGCAGCACCATGTGGTACAAATAACGATGGATCGATGCTGGTGTCAATGGATTTATCTGATAAAATAAGTCGATTTGATGCTGTTTGCGTGGATGGAGGCTATACTCTATTTATTGATCGTATATTATGTATGAACTCCCATCTTCAGCTTGAGAGTTTTGTGACTCCTGTTAGGAGATCAAGAGGCGTAAATCTTAGTGCAGAAGAGACAGCATATAACCAGCTGCTTGGTGGGTTTAGATCGTCTATAGAATCTCGTTTTGGAGAGCTTGGCCATCTTTTTCATCGATTTAACGGTAAATCTGTGATCCGCGTGTCTGAAGATGCTGTATTTACGGTACAATTCAAGTTGGCATGTGTTTTAAGCAACATGAAAAAGTTTGTAGCCATGGGACCGCTTCAACATACAGATCATCATACATTTTGGATGCATAAAGACTTTGATTATTATGGTGGTACTGCTTCT